TGAAGAGCCACATAATTATATACGGAGTAATACTTAAAACTTTTATTGACAAAGTTTTAAATAAATATATAAAACTTTGTAATTTTCATTTTTACACACCATCAAATGCATTTCTTTAATCTATTTTCTCTTGTAATTTGTATATTAAAAAATTATAGAAATTATATATTAATAATCTATATGTTAAGACAAATCAAACAAGATCATACATGACTATATTTAGGCTTACACATTGAAAGAATTTGATGAGTCAAAGTGCTTAGCTGAACAGTTCCAAAAGTCAAAAGTGAACAAAAATTAGGGGACGGAGGGAGTACAAATATACATGCAATATTTAATTTTTTAAAAATTTCCTAAACAAATTTTCTATACGCTTCACTTTTTAACACTAAATAAAAATTATTTAATTAAACTTTTATAATGCCCTTCACTTTCAAACTATTTAAAAAATAATCATTTCATTATGACAACATATTTTTTAAATATTCATAAGCATGCATTTACTTAAAAAATATATAAAGTTTATTAATTGAAAAAAACATTATATATAAATTATAAAACTATGCATAGTACCATTTAATTTTTCTCTTACGAAGTACTTTTAAACACAATTGCATACATTTATCCCTATGCATCTTTACTACGGAGTTCTACATTGTTTAATTCAAATTTTAATACTCCGTATAAACTTTATCACATATGCATCTTCATTAGCTATATAATTTATTTTAGAACTTCTCATCATACGTTGTTATATATGTGTCTCTATATGCCAATGTAGTGCGATTTAAATTAATTTTTTTCTTTCAAATCCTATGTAGATTTTATATTTTTGAAAAACTATTTATATTTTTATACAATTACTTTATAAAATAAAGTGTTGTTTCTTTTTATAAAAAATTAGTAAAATGAAACCTTTATTCCATGTGTCATGTGCAATGATACCCACACACATAAAACAAGTGACCTATATGTTTATAAACCTTTTCCTTGCTAATTTTTTGTATTTTACATGAATATTAAATGATACAATATACTCCGTAATCATTATTTTCATACTCCGTATTATTTTTTTTTAAAATCTTACTAATTTATAACTAAAATTTGTTATATTTTAATCATTGTAGCACATGTTTTTAATACAAAGCATTCAATCATTATTTAAAAATGTTATAAATTAAATATTTTATAATTTTTACAAATAAAATTACTTATAAATTTTTGAACCTATACACCATTTATTTTATTACATTTATATGCATATGCACCTTCATCTTTTTAAATATGTATTTCCATTTTAATTTAGTCATAGATTTTTTAAACAAACTACATTATTTATGTTATTTTATTTTTTATGAAATAAAATTTTAGGAGTTGTTTTGTAAATGAAAATGTCACACATGCGCATTAAAATTTAAGTGTGACTTTTGACTAAATTATTAAAAAATATAATACGGAGTATAAACTTAGGTGTTTGCTTTAAAAGATAAAATGAAATGGAAGAAAGCAGAGCTTGGTTTTACAATAGTTATGTCTATTACTTGATGAATATTAATTATATTGGCGAAGTAATTTAAGTTCAGACTCTTAACTAACAAATTTGGTCAAAATATTGTACAAAAATGTTGAATTTAATAGTGTGAGTTTTATATTTCTCAAAAATATTTGAAATCTTAAATTGTAGAATCTGAACGTGTAAGGATGAACAACAGAAAAGAAAAACTCTTGATCTTCCCCTCTCCTCCAATTTGCATGCCACAACCCTCTCGCACTTAGCACCATCATTATGAATAATATCAACAATAACAACAACAACAATAATAAATATTTACACTAAATAGCACTAAAACTAAAATCATTTCCCAAAATAGCACTTAAATTGTTTTATTCTCTAAATAACACTTAATAATGTCCATATGTCAAGTAATGATGAATAATTGTTTGAATAATGACTAATACATAATGACTAAAAGTGTTACATTGGGAAAAAAAACATATGTGATACTATTTAGAGAAAGTCATTATGTTTTAGTATTATTTAAGTAAATTCCTCTAATAAGAATCACAATAATAATCACATATGTAATATATATCATCATCATATAAAAATATTATTAAATAATCATATATATACTATGAAATGACTTAAAACTTAATTATAGAAGATAAAAAGATCTCATATATAAATGAACTCTCTAATTTGTATTAGATGTTTAAAATTTGCACAACTCATATATATTTATTTTTAGTTTCAATTTGTATTAGATGTTTAATTTGTATTATATATTTAAGTAATGTAGCTAACATTACTACGTTTTTTTTTTAAATTTTGAGAAAATTTTTACTAGTAGTATACTCCGTAAAAAAGAGGAGTAGGAGAAAGAAGTTTGAGAAAACTTCACTTTAGGTCGGGTTGTCTTGCAAGTATCATTACTAATTAGGGCACGATCCCAAGGCTGGCGTCTGTAAAATTGTATTCCGGAAGAGAAGAGATATGGAGGCAGCGCAACCAGTGCTAAAGGGAGCTGTTAAGAATCACCTTCGCCGATCCAAATCGGAGGTATGATGGCTTCCCTTTTGTTCTCTTATTATCGGCTAGCTCCTTTGTAAATTCTTATTCCTAGTTCCTATATTCACCCGAGAGAGAACTGTAAATCCAATGCTGAAAAGGCAACTTCAAGTGTCAGTTCTCAAGTATTTTTAAGTATACTTGAGGGGAAAACGCAATACTCTGCTTTACTGATAAAGTCCAATGCAGGAGGATTCATTGATGGAGAAGAATCCTCGAGGATGAATGATAAATTTTATGGATTGAAGTCCTGATCAAAATGTGAGAGAAGAGAGAGAGAGAGGGGTTATGTGAAATGAGATTAAATGTCTTCTTATTCCAACCACAGCTTGAATACAAGTAGGCCCTGAGCCCCCC